AATTGATTCCCAGAAAGATCCATGCTCTCTAACTTAGAAAGTTGCCCGATGCTATCTGGAATACTCCCATTCAATTGATTGTTAGAGAGACCTATGCTTTTTAACTTAGAAAGTTGCCCGAGGCTATTTGAAATACTCCCACTCAATTGATTGCTAAAAAGATAAAGAGCTATCAAGGAAGTCATGTTTTGGAGAAATATAGGTATTGGACCTTGGAAAAAGTTAACTGAAAGATCTAAGGTTTGAATATTGCCAAGCAATGTAAAATTAATGGGATGGTTGCAAGATGGCAAGTGATGATTTTTGAGACTACAACTTGACAAATCTAACCATGATAGTAAAGGAAGCATGCCAAGTACTTGAAACAAGTTTGATGATGTAAGACTTAAGTTTACTCCGCTCATATCAAGAAATGTCAATGAAGTCATGTTTTGGAGAAAAATAGGTATTGGACGATAAAAAGAGTTTTGTGACATATCGAAGTGTTGAATATTTCCAAGTAACGTAAAATTAAGGAGGTGGTTGTGAGATGGTAGGTGAGAATTTTTTAGACTACAATCTGACAGACTCAACCATGATAATGAAGAAAGCATACCAAGTACTTGGAACAAGTTTGATGAGGCATGACTTAAATTTACTCCACTCATATCAAGTCGTTGCAAAGAGGAGAGACGAGAAATCCACTGAATGTCATCATCAACCTTCAATCCCCCATAATAATATTGAGAAAGATCAAGGACACGAAGCCTTGTAAGATTTCCAAGTTCACTAGGAATTCTTCCTCTAAACTGTGCATAGGAGAGATTTAGGTACCTCAACTGCTTCATCAAGCTAAGGGAGGGTGAAATAAGATTACCACTGAAATTATTGTTGCTCAAGTCCAGGTGTTCTAAGTATCTCAACTTCAGCAAACTTGAACCAACCTCCTTTACATCGTCAATCAAGTACAATTGAGGTCCTTGATTAGAAAATATTGATCCCCTGAGTTGAAGCGAGACAACATATTTGTTATTTTTATCACAGCCTACTCCTCTCCATTCACAACAATCATTGCCTTTCCAAGAAGACAACATATGCGATGGATCATGGAAACAAAGTTTGAACTTCAAGAGGGCTTTTCTCTCCTTTTCTATACAGCTAAAGCTTGTATTCCGACCAGAACAAAACTCTGCAGCTCCAAAGAACAATACAACAACTAGAACAAGCATAGCACAAAAAGTTTTCCTCATAATGATGTTTTCAATATTGTATGGAAGATTACATGTGATATTTAATTTTGCTTGTACATTAATATATAGTCCCATGGACAGGCAAATAAAACACGTCCCGCACATGGTGGCCTATTGGCCACCCCCTTGCGGACGTACGTAGGACTAATGAGACCTGGGATCAAATCCTAGGTCCCTTCCCCTTCCCCGGAAAAAAACAAAGGTTTCCCAATGTTCAAAAAAAATAAATAAATAAAACACCGTTTCCCCGAAGTTACACTAAAGATAAAGATTCCGCGTAAGTGATTTAAAGCAGCCTATTTTTCTATTTCGATCATGATCACTCGAGCGCGTTCGCCAAGACTT